GGGGGGGGGGGGGGTGATTTGATCGCAAACGAAAGAAAATACGAGAATTAGAGAGAATTTTCTCTTTACGAGTAAAACATCTAATCTTTATAGTAGTGTGAGATAAATAAACAAAACCAATTTTCTTTGGAATTCTTAGATTTTTTGTTTACTTTTAAGAATCTATACTAAGAAATTAAGAAGTTCCCTTAATTACGTAAGTAATCAGCCCAGTATTGACTCGGTCTTTTCAGTTCCTAATCTCCTACGGTAATTTACAAATATATACATAAGCTATCTGTAAGCGTACAAGAATACTTATACTATAAGTTTACATTTATTTTATATATTTACATTCGAATTCAACACTCTTAAAAACCTACTAATACCAAACTTCAACACAATCGGAGCTTTTTTAGCATTTTTACGCTCCATCTTAGATACGCCATTTTGAATTTCTCAATTCTGAATTGATTCGAATTCAGCGTCCCCCAAAACCCATATATACTAAATTTTACAGCAATTAGAACACTTTTAGTATTTTGATCACTTTTTCGGATCTTCCAGCCCATAGTGCTGTGTAATGAAAGTGAATTATATCTGTATGACGCAATGCTCGGTGACTTGTGGCTTGAGAGTAACTTCAATCAATGGCTCGTGGGATAATTAGAAGAAATGTTCAAAGATAAACGCGGAACTTCGCGGAACACTTGCACAATATGGTTTGCAACAGAACTTAAATAATTCTGAGGCGGATGCTTAAGTCGCTTTGAACGTATTTTGCTAGGATATATTATTGTATATATACTGGAATACGAGGAAGGGATTTTTAGCAGTAAAAAATACAATACCGTAGAGCGAATGCAACGATAAATATTGTAATTATTATAGTAAAACGAAAAATACAAATTTCAAATAATTAACACTTAATTTAGAGTCGCTATAAGAGTCCCCCCTTCTCTCCTTGTAAATTCGTCTATATGCGGATGTCGGTGTGAGATAACGATGCGAATACCTTCGTAAAGAACGCTTTAAGAAAATATTAAAGTATATTCTTTTAAATATCTTTGAATAATATTACATCTCGAGAATAATAGATTCTCTGTTGAAGCTAGTGGAATACTATACAAATACAATCATTTTGATGTCTTGGCGTATGTCAATGGCGTATGAATCAATTATTCTCAGCTGGGCAATTTAAGTACTATATATATTTTTTTTTTTATATATAAAAAAGAACGTGCGCCGTCTTAATTAATAGTCCTCTATTAACATACATAATAGTAACAGACTACAACGTAAATGATAATTGCCTTGATTACAAGCAGAAAAGTTGAGAAACTGAGTCTTTATATAAATGCGGCTCTACGTATATAATAACGTTCTTCGCGCGTCTCTCACTATACAGTATTCTTATTTTAAAGATTACACGATACACTCAACTATAAATTGGCAGTTATTAGTAGTTAAAGATTTTTCTCTGCGTTATTCAACTTCGTAAATTTTTCAAGAACTGCTCCTGTCAAGGGCACGTCGCAGTACATAAACATTTAGTATTAAATGCAACAAAGTGTGCGAGTGGCGAAACGCATCGTTCTCCTCATAGTTCACAACAAGGAACTGAAATTCGCAATGAGGGAACATCCTTCGAACATCCTGCGGCGCGATGGTAATCTTCTCGTGTAACAAGTTATAAAGAATTGCGTGAAGAATGCGCTTATCTAATATACAAAAAATTATTTCAAATCTGTTATCATCATGGCGAATCCGGTTGGATACGTTGATGCGCGTTAATCTACACTATGCAGATTGCAGTATAAAAGCAGATAGTAGTGTGCAAGTATTGAAACAATAGAGTGTACTCAGCGCAAGTTATTTGGCAGAGTGAAAGTTGAGCATTTTATCAATTATAAATTGTCTATGTACTATGTACTTGCATTCACTACCAAGTTTGTCAGGTAACCCTCTCTTGTGCGGCACTCTTTAATCTGCACCAGCGCGCACTTTAATGCATCCAATCGAATTCGCTGCAAGTCACTTATATATCATTCCATATATTTTCTCTCGTTGTAACATAAACAAGAAATTAACGCTATCGTATTATCTCTCACGTCGAAATACTCACTCCCTCAGAACTGCGCTATTAAGTTTATGAGCTTTATTTAGAAACATACAGATTCAGATGTAATTATGCTTATGTGAAAAGTATTGACTATCCGGTTCATATGGAAAGTAGTTAGCTTTCCCCTTACAAATCAAGTTTTTCTTCCATAAGCAAATTATCAATTACGTCTAATACTCTGAGTTGTGCACAACAATTTGTCTTTTTAAGTGCGCGATAGATCAGTTAAAACACTAACAAGGTTTAATTTATTTTCTGAAACTATGCAATGATCAGGTGAATGTTGAACTATATCACTTTGTCAGTTGCAGCAATTTTTTCTGCGCTTCCCATCCAATGCCCACTTCACAAAAGTTCGTACCCTCATATATTCTTTAAATCATCCGGCAGCTCGTTCTTGGGATGTTTATTTTCGAAATGTTGCTTGTAGGTCTTGGGGTCTGGCATTTGGGCCTGCAAATCGAATTTGTATGCATTATGAGAACCAGCCTCAATAAAGAAGAATGTAAATCAAAAGATAACAAAGATATTGACCTTGCACACAGAACATACGTGTACAAGTGCTTTCTGTGCTGCCTTTTTCTGATCATTGGCACTGTGTCCTTGTTGTTTCTTTACTTTTGCAGCTTTTTCTGCAGCTTTGGCTTGAGATTGTATTTTTTGCTGTCCACGAGCCATTCTGGAAATAAAGAAACTCATGTATAAATAAAATCCTAATACCTTTTGAATAATATATTAGTTTAGATAAAGATACATTTGATTTTGTATTCCTTGACATCTATGAAGTTAGATCATTGACATTATACGAGATTCACTTAGTAAAAAGTATTTTATTTAGAAAACAACAGTTGCATAATTTTTAAGTAATAACAACTTTTAAGTTTTTGTGATTAGAGAGAGAATTCCACTAAAGTCATCAAGTCATCTGTTTCCTGAAAGATGATCAACTAATTGTTACGTTCACTATACATATACTGATCATATATTTGCCACATAGCAAAAAGCACTGAGTTTAAGAATGACTGTATTTAGAAAACAGAAAACAGTATTTAGAAGACAGTTGTACAATTTTTATGTAATAACAACTTTTAAATCTTTGTAATTTGAAAGAAAAAACTTTTAAATTCATCAAATACATCCATTTCTCAAAAGTTAATCGATCACTTGTTGTGTTCACTGAACATACACTGACCATACATTCTCCAACTGTGTCTTATCTACTTTGACAAACTGTATTACACTTAATTCAACAACTATGTTGTCAACACAACTAACCCCTTCTACTTCCTACCATGTCTCGAAATAACATACGGGAAATACTGCTGTCTACCTATAACAAACACGACGCGATACCCAAAATATCCGCCCATCGAAACCGTTCACGTGCAGCGGTGATAATCGTCTAAAGCACTACAATCTGGTGAGCATCAGGTCAGCTGGACGGTTGGAAACAAAAGTTCGGAGAAAGCTCTCGAAAACAATACGCATGCATTTCACCGCAAAGCGAGCGAGAACAGCTGAATTTGTCCAATTTTGCTCTACTGTCTTCCGCGGTTTTTCTCACTCTTCTTACAAATAAAACACTTATTTCGTTTTGAGCATAAAAAATATAACGTGGTGCGGCTACCGATGAGCAGACCTCTTACCTATTCGTAGGACGGTAGACGCGTGCCACGGTCTCTCCTGACTTCCCTCGTTTTTGCAATTCAGCCGAAGTCTCGCTTTTTAACAGAAGCAAAATCGACACGGTGAAGTATCTCGTGGTCACACCTCGTGGACGAGGTCTTACGGGATATAGGAAAAGCTGTGCGGGAAACGAGAGCGGAGCGAAAGTCGTGACCCGGAGCACTTTCTGCGCGCAGACGGGTGCACGCACTCTCGCAAAGAAACCACTACGGAGTACGGAGCCGCTATCTATAGGCCTGTTTGTTGCGACTGCACTCTCTGCACGTAAAACGCGCAGAAGATGTACATAGGCTGCGTTCCGAAATTCACTGTCAGTGCTGAAATTCTATAGTATACGTAACATGAACTATAGATTTTCAGTGCTGGCAGTGAATTTCGGAATACGACCGTAGACGCAAGTTGCCGAACGAGCGCGCGGAGGAAGCGACGAGGTAGTAAGTACAACCGCGAGATGAGCGTGTTCAAAATAAAATAAGTGAGTATACGTATTATTATTAGGGAAGAGGCACAGGAAAGAGGAAAAAATCGGTTAGGCGACAATTTTCCGAAAAGTGGAAAGGATAATGTTCAACTTCAACTTCAATTTCAATAAATGGCTCCAGACAGTTTTTTTATACCATAGAAAAGCTGCGCAACGATGTCTACCGATCCGACAATTGTCGATAAGTGGTTACAGAATAGGGCCCTAATGCTGGGATTCTGTAATTTGTTATTGGAGTTAACGACAGTTTCGTTATCGTTGCGCAGATTTTCTACAATATACAAAAGCTGTGCAACGATAACAAAACTGTCGTTAACTCCAATAACGAGTTACAGAATTCCAGCACAGGCTGGATCCTAATCTTCACTAATAGCGAATTCGATTACACTAGTGCATATTAATGCAAACAACCGAATTCACTATAAGAATTATACTCCAACGCCATTACACGGAGAAGATAATGTTGATACCAAGGAAAATCTTTACACGATATAATTTAAAAATCTGTTCTTTGTAACTGCACTGATGACTGGTGCAATAAATTGAAGTGAGACAAGTATACGTTTTCTCACTCTAACTTTCTGCACTAATTCAACAGTGCAGTTACAAAGAACAGACCTTTAAATTATATCGTGTAGAAATTTTCCTTGGTACCGACATTATTTCCTCCACTTTTCGGGAAATTGTCGCCTAACCGAAAAAATCAGAGGGAAGTATATGGGTGTTTTCCAATTACGTACTGTGTTACGCCAGTAATCAGTTTATTGGTTGTATATTATCTTACAAGATAATGGCTGCATTCAGCAGACTCAACAGTTGCACAACAGTTGAGTAATTTGTCTAGATTTAGGGATCTAATAGCAAGAACCAATAATCGTTGATTGCTCACTGAGCGCTTTTTCTACTGAATGCGCCCAATATGATCTATAAACTAGTTTTATGTAACACAGTGTAACGTAGCTGAAAAGCACTATATTTACTACATCTATTGTAGACCCGGCCTAAAGGATTTTTGAGTCCGGAACCAATGGATGCGTTCAGAAAACACAATTATGCAGTCGTTGAGTGATTGTCGCCTTTGATTGAATTCTTTCTTATTCTTTCTTATTCTTTTAGATTCATTGAAGTATGCTCTTAATTTTTGTTGAATCCAAGAGCATATACCGATCAGATTTATGAATTTTACAACAGTTGTAAAGCAGCTTTCTCTGCTGAACTCAGCCATTGGGTCTGTTTTCTATTGCTGAACTAGTATATACTTTCAAAACTTAAAAAGAGACAGATATACAGGTAAAATTTGATGGAAGAAAAATGAGAGAGAATTAGTGCAGCCAATTCAGTAATAGAAAACAGACCCATCCTTTCAAATCTAAAATTATGGATCTAAGAATACTTCAATCAAAGGCGATTTTCACTCAACGACTGCATAATCATGTTTTCTGAACGCATCCATTGGTTCCGGACGCAAAAATCCTTTAGGCTCCTTTTCTCTGCTAAACGCAGCCAATATTCCAATGCATTCAGCAGAAAAAGCTGCTTTGCAACTGTTGTAAACTGTTGTAAAATTCGTGAATCTGATTGGTACATGCTCTTGGATTCAACCAAAATTAAGAGCATACTTCAATCAGATTCACGAATTTTACAACAGTTGCAAAGCAGCTTTCTTTGTTGAACCAATGACACTAAACGCTCACTTAACCGTTGTTTTCTGAACACAGTCAATTAAAGAGATTTGATCACGCGAGTTTGTTACTTGCTGTATGCGTGGCACACACTTTGTAATTTCAATGAGATAAATTCTCCGTTTTCTTAAGATTCGTTAGATCGTTCAGGATATCGTAGAACAATGTAAAATTTCCTTCCAATTCAGCATATGTATCGTAGGATATCACAGAAAGAAATTTCTTATCTTCGGACATGAAGGCGCGCTCGCATTGCCGCTAAACGCGCGACTTTCGAAGGAGGGACGGTGTTCTATAGCGCACGTGTTCCCAGTGACTCATCGCGATTAGGGAAAATGGCTGACGATCTGTCGAGACGTGTTTTGACAATTTTGTTTGATTGATCCCAATGTTCCACAAAGAGTTACGTTGCATTGGTGGGCGCAATCCCTACGACGGTGTCGTAGGCGCAGCGTCTCGGCCGTGACGTGTTTGCTGGGTTACACTTGTGTCGAGTGTCTGAGTCATTCGGCTGACACGTTCGAACGTGTTTCGACCTGCCAGCATCAAGAGGAAACTCTCGAGAGGCTGACACTGTTCTCCTTTTTTCTAATATCGCTCCCCATGAGATATCTGAGGTAAGTCGCGTTGGTTGATACTAAATAGAGAATAGAAGAACGTGCGAGACTATCACGAATGTTACGTGCGCCGTGCCCTCGTTAGTCTGTACCAAGTGATTTTTTCGTTATCGAGCTGCTGTTTCATTTAGGAGATCGTCACGCGTGACATAATATTTGTATATTGACGTGATAATACATTCGTGAGAATGATTCAAGATAAATCTTATTTTTAGGATTGCTTCGTCACCAAATAGCAGAGATCATTTAAATGGCAATATGAAGATCCAAAGTCTGTTCTTTTTAGCTGAACTTAAGGCTTTCGAGTGAAATAAGAATCTTCTTCCGATATTTGGCTTAGAAATAATGTAAACTTACTATATGTGTCACTCAATGATGCGCAGATAAATTAAATTATATCATAGGGATAACTTAGAGCTTCCAGTGCTAGGATTCTGTAACTCGATAACAAAACTTGTTAACAAATTATAGAATTTCAGCACAGATCATACAGTTATCAAAGCTCTTGACAGATCTATTAATGGCTCTAAGTAAAATAAAAATATATATTATTGAAAGAAAAGGAATAAAATCCCTACTATAATGTATTACTTCTGCTAAAAAGAACATATTTCTATTGCTATATATATATGTAAATATTTATGAATATCTCTGGACAGCTTATACAATCTTTTTTATTATTCTTGCAGGTGATAATGCAACAGGCTTGTTGTATTCCCTGACGTGGCGCATCTCCTGTGTGACCAGGTGGATGTGGAATCTGTATAAAGAAAAAAAGAGTTGCTAAACGGTTGAGTTATGCTGTAAAGATCTGCGTCGTGTGTTCTCTGCAGTTACTGTGATCGTCATGGTGTAAACAGAGGGTCATTAAGGCTATAAAATGCCTACCATTCCAGCTAATGATGGGACAGCACTTTGCTAGTCTCAGAGAGTTCTTTAGAATGGATGGTGAACGACAGCCCACGGAGATATGCGCCAGTGCATTTAGCCAGGCATTGCCGTCGGAGATGGTGAATCGGGACAGCACTGACGGCTCGCCCGAGAACGAGGCTAACGGCAATCTACCTGTTATGAACTCTAACATACTGCCCAACCGAGAATGCAAGCCTGAGGGAAATCTGGACAACGATCGTTTGAACTTAGACTTAGACAACCATAATTCTAGATTCGAATCTTTATATAGTCAGCCTGTCGAGGCGCACGACACCAAGCAAGTTTGTAACAATGGCAATGTCGCCGGCGAGACGACGTACAGGCAGCAAGAGGCTTGCTGCAGCAGTTCGGGCGGTAGTAACAGCAGTAGCAGTTCCGAGGATAGTCCCGTGAATCCACCTTTGAGAAGATCCTCTAAAACTTTATCGTTCGGACGAAGAAAAAGTAAGTATTCGGCAGACTGGACGATTGTTTGTAAGAAATCCAGATAGCACAGAACATCTCCTGGGATCGAAAACTATATGTCAAAGGCTCTGTTGGAATACCAAGTCGAGAGAAATATAAATATCTTACTCTGGATGTTAATGCGAATAATTCTGGGAAATTATGGGAAGGTAATATTAATTTAATAGAAATCAAAGTAAAAGTGCAATTAGGATTTTAAAAGAAGGAAATTGATTAAAATATAATAACTGGAATTCGAATACACACACACACACACACACACACACACACATATATATATATAATAATTAGAGTTGAGTTTGATGTGAAAAAAGTTTGATTCACTGCGTACACGTTGTAAAGAATGAAAGATGTTCGGTACAATGTGTTTACTATCAAACAATACCATCCTTCCATAATATAATTATTCGCGCTAACATCCAGTGCACGATTCTTATTAGGCTTATATTTCTCTTGTCCTGAGATTATCCTGGATATGCTTAGGACATCCTAGGATAATCCTCAAGGTGTTCTGGACACATTCCGGATGATTTTAAGTCATCATGTGCTATCTGGGAAAATTGTGAAATTCTTTTTCGGACAAGTTTATGTAATGCAATGATATTTGCATTTGTGCTTATATTTTTTTTGTGTTGTATACTTTATATTAAAAATTTTAAAAGTTCTCCAATCTCAATAGTCAAGCTTATTTGCAGTTTCATTAAATTTTTGTATTCATAAACTTGTACAAGAAAATATTGCCTCCTTTATATAAACAAATATATCAATATTATGTCACCAATATCGTTTGTACAATGACACATATTCTTATTAGACAAACCGCGCAATAAGGATCAAAGCCCAGTCTGCAATCATGTTTTAACGTCGAAGAAGAAACGCAGCAACTGGGTGCTGAAATTCAACTGCGCCAAGAGCAAAAGCTCCAAAAACACGGACATTATTCCCGGCCAAGGGAACAGCAATTCGGACTGCGTATGCACTGGTTATAGGAGAACCGAGGAGCACCCTATGGGTGCGGGCATTGTATTTAATAGTCGTTCTGCGCCGCAGAGTCCCGTTCTCGGGCCTCTGCCACCTAGCCCCGTGATCGATTTATCTCGATTCAACCCCGAGGAGTTTCCTATGGAAGTACGTCTGTTACATCTGATGATTACTCTCTTGCAACGCCATGCATTACGGATTCGATATCATCGTATCAGTTCTCTTCGTTTTTCTTGAAGGATTGCGACGAACGAGCCCGAATGCAACGCGCAAGGGAGATGGAGGAGGGCGTCGAGCCGCCCCCCGGTTATAGGCCTAATTATCCTTCGGGAATCCAAGTTCATCCTAATGGAATAACGGTGGACAGTTTGGCGGCATTGTTCCAAGCACATGCTGGTATTCAAGCTGCCGCTCTCACAGCCTTATCGCAGATCGATTTTACGTTAATTCCGAATATCGAAAGGCCCGCACACACGCAGGTGAGCGACACCGCAACACGCCGTTCATTACGCCGTGTTCAACGTATGGCTGATACGATCTTCGTGCGTTCACATCTCTGTAATTTCTCACGCAGGTCGATTATGTGCATTGTCTCGTACCTGACTTGAGATCGATCACGGCCTGCTCCTTTTACTGGGGCAAAATGGATCGTTACGAGGCGGAGCGCCTGTTGGAAGGCAAACAAGAGGGTACTTTTCTGTTACGAGACTCTGCGCAAGAGGAGTTCTTGTTTTCCGTGAGTTTTCGCAAATATGGGCGCTCGTTGCACGCACGGATCGAGCAGTGGAATCACAAGTTCAGCTTCGATTCTCACGACCCAGGAGTTTACGCTTCCGAAACAGTACGTATTACACGTGAAAAGTCGTGAATGTGAAATATCCTGTAGACCAGGCATCATGTATCCCTTATTTAATAATTTCCTATGATTGTTAACTTTATGTATATATATGTAAGGATATATATTTTTAGCTATATAATGAGTAATTTCGGATTTTCCAGATAAAATGAAAAAATTTATATTTTTATAACTTTATGAAATATGTGTACAAAGCATGGCAGAAAATCGTAGATCAAAGTTACATATACATTGTTTTATAACGACAAAAAAGTACAATCGTTTCATTTTATTTAAAAAGTTTGAAATTAAAAAAATTAAAGAAAGAAATTACTTATTATATACGACTCAGTAACATAACTAAACTAATTATAGCGTTAAAGTGTATGTGACGCTTAGTGTACTACTTATCAATCTTTCTTTTCTCACTTACAAAATCGTAAAAATCATCATTTTTCTAAATCGTGAGAATGATGAAAATTAAGAATAAGTGTAAAAATTATAATGCTTAAAAATTCATAATCGTTTTTTACAAATCGCAAGAATGCGCGATTCATGATAACGGTACATTTTACAGGTATGTGGTTTAATCGAACATTATAAGGACCCTTCCTGCTGTATGTTCTTCGAGCCAATGCTCACTATCCCGCTGCACCGGAACTTCGCGTTTCCGCTGCAGCATTTGTGTCGAGCGGTGATAACCACGCGGACGACGTACGATGGCATCAACAAATTGCAATTGCCAAAGACGCTTAAGAGCTATCTTAAAGAGTACCATTATAAGCAGCGAGTGCGTGTCAGGCGGTTAGACACGGAGAACGATCTACAGACGGACGGCAGATCCATATCATACTTACCCCTAATATGAGTCTTCGCGTATATTCGTATTCAGTAGAATTTATTATACGTTGCATAATTGATTTCTTTAATCTCCACACATTTCGTACAGTCGCGTACCGCGCAACGCATACGACGGCGGGTACCACCGTGCACAGCATACTGTAATTAATGCCGAGAACCATGACTCCGATACAGTTACACAGACACGCGTCATCGCAATATTAGCAATAAAAACTAAAGGAAAAAGTAAAGCGTTGTACTCGTCTTATGCGATAATAGAGGTCCGGGAGAGAAAACGACGTAGATATGTAATTAAAAAGGAAAAAAAGCCAAGAAGAAGAAATGGGACTTTTGTGCGAACAGGCGCCTACATTTTTACTCGGATGAAATCTAGGAATTCCATATGTAAATACGTCAGAAACTGGCAGTGCTTCGCCATACCACACGACGCGCGTACACGACATAACACACACGTTGTATCGCGAAAAACCGTTTACTGTATTATGTGAAACTTCAATATTATTGCTATTGTTCTTATTATTGCTACAATTCTTTATTCTCATTTCTATTTTATTCCTTAGATAACCACGTTATCTCGTATAATCGCGTTATTTCAGTACATATATATAATTTTATTTAATGTTAATTAAAGTTACGGGATCAGTTTGTATATTGATAGTTTTTATAGGACGATACCAAAACCTACGCTTGCGCGGCTGCAATTTAGCGTTTAATTATTAAAATTATGGTATTATTGTCGGATTATCAACTTTTATACGTAACTGGAAAAGTTACGATCATTACAAGATCTGGTTCGTATTACTCCTATTGTGCCTATTTATAATGTTAAATATTATTAGATAAAAGCTGTCTGTGTTGATGTTCACCATTGCCAGATGCAAAAGTCTATAATTTGTGTAAATCATTTAAATTTCGAAGAGAAGAGAAAAACGTAGGAAGATATCAAATGCAATGAACTGAATTTGGATTAACGATACAAATCAATCATTGAATTGATAAATTTGCAAATATATAATATTATAGTATGAAATTGTTAAAAGTATTGGTTAATGGTTACTCGTATAATGAACTTCGTATTAAAAAATAAAAATTGAATATTTATTACGTGTATATATATTTCACTAATATCTTAATTCCTGATGCTATAATAATTCTATACATACAGAAAATACTTGTTTAAAAATTTTTCAATTATTACATGATTTATGTATGCTTTTTTTTAAAGATAATGTTTTACATCATTAAAGAACAAGATTTTACAATTAAAATATATTAATATAAATGTATATATCTATCAAAGATTATAATGGGAGATGTCATGATTAGAAAAATATAATGCTCTTACATTTGTAATTTCTATTTTTATACAAATTAATATAGCAACCAAACAGAACGATAAGAAAGTATTTAAACCTATAAAATTTATAATAGCACGATTAAAAGATAAAGTCAAGATTAATATAATTTACAAGTTAAATTACTTTTTCAACCATAGATTTTTATTGCATTTTTACAATATTATGTTTAAGCCCCATATTAATTATTTCAAGTCACCGATGTAATACGTATATGTATAGTCACAATATAATATACGATAAGTTTCATCTTTAAAAATTAACGGAATGTTGCAAAAATATATTTACAACCACCAGAAACAATAATTATATTTAACAGCCAATCAGCGTTGTAGCATATATTGTGTAAATGGCAGCATTATTTTATAATTGAAGACGAAGAAGAGAGAGAACAGTACTAGAAAGAAAATATCTGTTGTCTTTTTAGGAAAAATATACAAGTTTTTCTCTTGAAATTTATTAAAAATATTATATAATACTTTTTTTTACATATTTATGATATGCAAAGTTTACTGCTGTATAATAAAAAGAATTGTCTTAAAAATATTCTTTAAATCTATCGTTCTTAATATTATGATAAATGAGAAATAATTTTATTTCGTTCTATAATATATTGTGTATATATATATATATATATATATATATATATATATATATATATATGTATATACACATTATTATAGGTTATATCTTAACATTATAAAAAGGATACTGATAAAATTTCTCTCCCACTTTTCCACCATATACAATTCGGTGACGAGCATGTATCGAAAATACCAATACTTCAGAAAAGATTGTAATTTTTGCATAGGATTAACCATTGTAGTTTGATTTATCGTTCTTCTCACTTATGTGTTAAAATATAAGAATCAAGATAAGAAGTCCATCGTTTAATCCATGAGTCATATCACTATCCATCACCACCTCAATTCTTCTAAAGAAAGTGGCGGCTCGTAGCGGAGACTTTGGAACTAATTTACAAAATTAACGGGTCTACCTATAATGCAGGATTCACACCGCGTCCGATTCCGACGTACGACGTTCGATATCTAATAAGAAAACAGCTTTCTAATGGAATTGAATTTTCTATTAGAAAGCTCTTTTCCTATAGGATATCGGACGCGGTGTGAATCCTGCATAAACACTTCACCCCTTATTTACTTCGGGTCTAACCTCTAGACATTTTTTATTTTGACTCGTTAATTTCGCAAATCTGTTCCAAAGTGTCCGCTACGAGGCGCCACTTTCCTTAACGAGGAATTGAGATAGTGATGAGTACGACTCAGTAATAGTTTAGACTTTAGGCTGTAATTTCGACAAAAATAACGCTATCGAGATGGTTCAACAAGTATTTTTCAGTTTGAAGCCTTTAGTTTTCATTCGTATGAATGCTATAGTTTTGCCATTATATTTTATAACGGCATATTAAATGACAAAGATTGTATAACTTTCAACCTCATATTCATATATTGAACTCATATTTTTATTAATATTTAAAATTACAAAAGATTCTCGCGTATATATTTGTCAAATTCACTCAGAGCCTTTTGCATCTCGGAATATCTTGCCAAATCACACGCTTCACGCAGTGGCAACCACTTGAACGCTTGGTGCTCGTTCGACATTTTTACAGACTTGTCTGGATTGAGCAGCTCCGCCAGCCAGTATATCACAATTTTCGGCACTCCGTTCACCTGGTACGTCATCTCTTGCTTCGCGTTCTCGAAGATTTTCAAGTCATTCGACACGAAGCCGGCTTCTTCCCGAGTCTCGCGCATAGCCGTCTCCATGTCGGATTCGCCAGGATCGACATGACCTGAACATCGATTGTGTGTGATTATCAAATGCGGAAAACAGCAGAAAACGAAAACATTTAGCTTTTTTTTAGTGCAATACAAAAAGTGCAATATTGTAATGCATATATATTTATATACGTGTAAATAATGTATGTATTTATATACATTCAACAATTAAAAATCTCTTTGTAAATGCGTCCTCTTGATTATACCGTCTATATCGTTATGCAAGTTTTATTTCATAAAAATATGATAAGAATGATAAGAATAGGCGAGTCTCGTCGCAAGATCTTGAGAACGCGAACGCCCTGATCATCGATGTGCTTGATTGTGGGTATTTGATCTTTACGGACCTTTAGGAGGCGTCCAGTGATGTTCTCCGTATGACGTCTGCATCAACAAATATTGGACAGTGCCTTGGAATCGGTGAAAAATGACGAGCCCGCAAGCGCGTTGTTGCAGCGCCATGACTCAATCGATTGACAGTCGGAATGTTGCTGGCGTATCTAACAGAATTATAGAACACGTGGTCGGCTTACGTGCGATCGCTGCGAGAGAAGAGGAAGCCGACGACTACGACATCGCGCTATCCATCAGAATAATATCGAGTCGATATCAATCCGAAGAACAGAGATTCGTATTCTTGACACGTATTCGAATGCGAAATACGCCTTTTTGTTTTCAAGCTGAATAATCTTATATAGCAGGTTTGCATAAGAAAACCAAAACTTGAAATAAAAAGTAATTGACATTCGAATACACGTTAAGAATACGGTCACTGGACTATATTAAGGTTCTTGGTCCCACTACTGCTACGGATTCCTGAATTAATAATGTCAGCAGCAAGAAGACGCATATCAAAGATTCTGGCGTGCTATTTTCAAATAAAAAATATTTGTATGAAAGAATACCTTAAATTGTTTGAGCATACTTATAAAATGCTCTAGACACTATCCTTCTCCTTTGACAGTCAATAGTCTTAAAGTTAACGTGACATGTGCTTCCTCTTCAATCTCTTCTTCTTTTTATGATTTTGTCATGTTAATTTTAAAATTATTTATCAACTGTTGAAAAGATCTGTTCTTTCACATAAATATCTTTTTATTTGAGAATGGTACGCAGAGACCTTTGGCATGCCTTTTCTCGTTTTTGATTAATTTAGGGTTTCATAGAAATGGGACCAGGAACTTTGAATATTGAACACTGAGAGCAAATTGACGAACGTATTTTACAAATTTATGTAGTTTCACGTTCCAAGAATTTATTGGTGCCTCATGCGCGCGGTCTCTTATCAATCAATATCAATATCGATATCGAATCTATCTTCTTTGTTCATATTGGACGTAGGACAGAGATGATCAACGATATGAACTAGTTGCGTAACGATACGCGCGTAAACATTTTTAAAATTATTACGAAATTTATAAAGAAATTATCGTAATGTGTAAAGAAATATGAGCAATGTGTAACACAAATAAATTTAAAGCACATACCTATGTATTCGTCCACTCGAGCGTTCCTTCCGAAGCTTTCATCAACGCAATGATCTTCGAGTTCAAGGGAATGTAATTTTATTTCGCAACATTGATATCGTATCAGCAATATTTGTAGGATCCAACGCAACATTCGTCTTGTCTCCCTCAAATTATTCAGCCGTTTTTGTACTCTTGTAAATTTATAGCGTTTATGTTAAACGTGGAAGTGAAACTTACATATTAGAGAGTCTACGACTAGATATCTGTCATAACAAATTTGCCTGCTTTTATAATTCTAAGAAGCGTATGTGTATATATGTGTGTGTGTGATCAGACGTGACGCCGATGGTATGTTATTTGTCTTTTGAGTGTGAAATTCCTTTCACACATATTTATACATCGTATATATATATAACTATTATATACACACGCGCTAATTGACAGTATTGTAGAAAAGAGGAATACATCTGTCCGTCTTTTTCACGATCGTAGGAATCTCGTGTATATATATGTATATATATATATGTGTGTGTGTGTGTGTGCAATGGTGTTTTGCTATTTCTCTTGACATACAACACGGTATATATAATAACCTCCGCCCGACTGAGGATCGGTAAAAGAAAGAAAGAAAGAAAGAAAGAAAGAAAATGAAATCGACAACTCGACGTGTCGACAGCAGACGCGTGTTGACGTTTGACAGGAATCTGTGAATCGGGGAACAATGCGTGTTACCATTTTATTATAAACGTTTTGCTACATTTTGGCTAGATACCGATCACCAGAAAACACTTAGCAAAGCTGTATGTATGTATCTATCTACAGAGATTGACATGTGTGTGCCGTGTTTTTTTTTATGCTGTTTCGTGTTTATGCATATATGTATATGTATCTTGTGTGAAATGTGTTGCGAGTACGTGTATGTGCGTGTTGAGTAGTGCACAGTTGTACGGGCGACACACGCGAGAGAAATGTTTCACGGCATTTACATACAAAAAAAATCACAAAAGCTCCACGATCGACGTTCACGTCGAACTGGATCTACAATGTCGCCCATGCGGCTGTGGCTCTCTCTCTCTCTCTCTTTCTCTCTTCACTAATTGTCTTGATAAGTTTTTCTCCCCACGTTAAAATCACGAATGTCTTCTTAAAATTTTCACGTCTCCTTCCGTTTAAGCATCTCGCGATCATTAATTTATACATTTATTTCGTAAAGCAAGCGAGCGTAGGGGTGGGTTTATGTATAGATTATGGTGTATAATTAATTCGCCTATATGCCGGGGATATACCATTATTTAACGCTATTTCAGGGACCTTACGTTAACATTAATAATAATCGCTATTATGGTGTGTAACTCTAGAGTCATTTTGTTACAACGACCGCTTCCGAATTACAATCTGCTTCCTTTTACCTGTTTTTTTTCTCATCCTTCTCCTTCTCATATTCTGTTTTTTTACACGATGGCGATAACGACGTTCAATATTGTACTCGATATACTAACTCTGATCTCTGATGCAGGAACAGATGGAGAAAAGAAACTCTCGGTCGTTATATATCTTCTCCGCACTATAATTCCCTATATAACAGTGATTGGGCTTCTCTTTCTCGAGGGGCGTGAATAATGTTGCATTTTAACTCTCGACTCTCGTCTTGTAAATCGGTAACATTATTACTCTATCATTATATTACATTATCTTGCTTATTGGTTCATGGAGTAATCCGACACGACACGAAACTGTATGGTGATATACGTAAAGAAGATAAGTCCCGATGCCAGTGCTCTGCGCGTTAATCATTAGCACTTAGATTTTTTTTCGTCAAGATGTTCGATACAGACAATTGGCGCCGATACTTAGTTGCTATCAGTCGTTTCACGATTCGCAACACGATGTACACGGATCGTACACGGTGTCGTGCGCTGAAGTTACTCTGTAGTTCAGTGTAGCAAGTGTTAGAAATGTGAAAAATCATTGAGTTTATAGTATGTAAATAAATTAGTCATTGCCTATTTAGTAACATACTTCATTAATCTTAGGCAAATATAAAAAGTTTGTTGATACTTGAGTTCCGAAGTGTATTTATGATCTTGGTGTGTGAGGCTCTCTCTCCTGCTCTCTCGTATCTCGCCTTATTAATTTAGTACCTTCGTAATATAATATTTATATACACACCAAGTCTCTCTCTACTTCGCCTCTACGTGTTTACGGTAAAATCCCTAATTTTACGTCACTCGAAACTGCGAATACCTCTGCGAATGAAAAGATTAAGTAGTACAGTATAGCCAATTACAATACTTAAATTTAACATTATCGTTTATCTCCTTTGTAGAAATAACAGATCTCGTTATTACTGAATGTAGTTTAGATTGTAATTCCAACTCTCTGTGTGAATGAAGTACTTGTGTGTATTATTCACATGAAACGCGAGTAATAACTCGATGGTATCCCTAAATTATGTTAATTAACTCCTCTGTTTCTACCTTCATATAACATCGCGTACTATATTACTTGTTTCTCGTCTATGATAGAAATAAAAATATTATATTAACAATAATTATTATGTTTTAATTAATTGGCTAATGTCTATAGTGCATGTGTATTTTCAAACTTATACTACAGATAAAAAAGAAAAGTAAAGTATCGTAAAAATGTTCGAAAAGAAGTAAGCGGCTGCACACTCGTGCAACATTAAAATAGTTCAATTCATTACTTCCGGCTAACGTGTCGATGAATGAAGGTAGATTCTTAATCGACAGAACGCTACGTATCCCCCTTTCTCTCTCGCTCGCTCTCACACACACACACACTCTCTCTCTTTCTTTCTCTCGACGGGTTTTGCGAAATACGTTGAACTCTTTTTCAGAGACAAAACCTGCCTGTTGTAAGGTTTCACGTATAAAACGTAAGATCAGAGGAAACGGGAAGTTACAGAGTAATGTCTTGACGTTGCAGATGAGCTGTCACATTCCTCTACCTCTCGTAAGATGGTAAAATGATCGCGTTAGTTTACTGTATAAGGAACACTTTTCCCGTGAGAAAGGTGAACGACATGAATGATGCTTCATTAGGCACATTTGACGTTTCCAATTTGAATTTCATTCCAACTTGTACACATCCCGTCGAAATAGCTTTAACACTTTTCGATTGATGCTAGTGGAAAAAGAATATTACAGCTATTTCGACGGCGTGTGTACCCCTTGTAATTTCAGCGTTTTACGATGGAGCAACACACAGCGCATGCGATAAAAGCGCGTTCCGAAGACATACTGATTCGAGTGCAGACAACTTCAACATCAAGAATACATAAGACAGATAATACTGTTCAGAAAACGAAGCGAGTAGTTCGCGATTAAAAGGTCTAGACTGCTCAAAAATCGAGCGGGTGGGAAGGGTGGGTCAACGATTTGATGAAGCGTTATTACTTTCGCACGTTTCCCCGTTTATCAACAACAAAAATTTGAAACTAATAGACGTAGATTATCGTGTCTAAATCCAGCTTTTTCGTACAGTCGGTAAGTAAGCTGGTCCGTTTCTCTTTCTCTCTCTCTCATACACACGCTTTCGCACTTTCTCTCTCTCTCTCTCTCGCACTTTTTCGTTCTCTCTCTCGAGGCGTTACGAGGACCCGACCTAGTTCTCCATTTTGGCACTCGGGAGTATTTGAATACGTATTAGCCGTCACAGATCACAGTTTCGGACTTTCCTCAAAGAATTGTTACAGCGGTACCTCCAACGCAGAGGAGATGGTGAGGGCACGCGTCTTTCTTTTTTCTGTCTCTCCTTTTTCTCTCTCGCTCGCTTCTTTCTCTCTCTCTTTCGTTCGTTCTTTCTCTCTATCGTTCTCTCGTTCTCGTTCTCTCCCTCTCATTCTCACCTGACGACGACGCTCGTCGACTGGGACGGAGGAATCGTTAAACGAATATCTCTCGGGTATCAGATTCGGAGTCGGAGTCCCAGAAGAAACAATAGTAAAACTCCTCGGTGACCGCCACTTGGTGGCTGCGCTCACGAGGTCGTTATGGATTGGCGCGGGCGGCTAGGGCGCCTGTGGCCGACAGTCACAGCTTGAGCTCGTTCGCGATCTTGCTGGCGATATTTTTGAAACCGATCGATGTGCCGGAGATACGCTTGAACCGCACTCCGTTCAGGGAGAGCCGCGGCAGCTTGCACACCTCGATCTCCCACTGCACTTGGCTGTCCGTCGCTGCCTCGCCGTGCGCGCAGAGCAAGAGGAATCGCTCGCGTTGCTCATACTGGCACTTATTGGCATCCAGGACCTGGAAGAACAACGATACGATGAAGTGCGTCTGCTTATCGTGCTTGGAGCGTGCGAATTTCTTAGATCGTTGTATACGACATGTCGATTCCGATCATATCCGAGAGCAATACACGCATAATTGAAAATATTCAACTTTCTGGGATAATATCGTACGAGCTTTTCCATTTTGCATACATTTTTTTATGAATTTGATGAATAATTTTATGAATTTGCTCAAGAAAATTGCAAACATTTCGCGAAGAGAGAGCCAAAATGCACTTCCACAGAGGAATTATGCTTCTTTAACGGGAAATGTGGTATAAACTCGAGAGAATTTTTTTATTTACTGCGCAAGAAGGGACTTATCGGATTATCATCGGATTGTCGGGATCGAACATGCGTATGCCACAGATCCAATATTCAGATTCTTACACGAGAGTCAATCTTGTGCCTCTAATCCTTACAATTTTGCAAACGTATCGCCTTTTTTTCGTGTTACGTAATCTGCTAATATAAGTACGCTTTTCTCGATACCTTTCGGATCTCAGACATAATTTCGTTAGGGTCTCGACTACTGGTAGTCTTCATACTCCATGTGAAGCGTAGACTGCGTGGTTTAACCTGTTCGTCGTTAGTGGTAGCTCCGCTGTAACAAAAAGATATCTTAAATCCGTCCAATTACCCTAAGCGCGATACCACAGAGCGGTATAGAGATTTTTTTTCTTTTCAAATAAAATTATTACACAATTACGACAACGTTTTCGCGCAGTACACACACACACACGAGTCGTGTAGCAATGTATTCTTACTTGGCAAATATTATTTGTCTAGCACGGCGTAACAAGGATTTGTAAATCCGTAGAATTTTCAATAATGAATTTTATCCCTGATCGTCTTTATTTCTCTATTTTTATCTTTTATGCAGAAATTGGAATACGTTAGAGTGTATCAGATAAAAAAAATCATGAAATGTATCTCGAGTTATGTGAAACGTAAATCTCGCGGAAAAATATGTGGTATGTCAAAAAAAAAGCTTGAAGCTTGCGGTTGCGCAACGATGTAATCTAAACTCATTCGAGTAGAAATTCTATATGATGTAATGCGCTGTGCTGAGATTTCTTGCAGGCTGCCTGATAGATAAGTTCGAAAACATAAAACGTAAAAGTGAAACTTTCTCAGAACCAAGTCCCATAATCGTAACATACATGCGTGACATGCAGTTCACTTGCCATCATAACTTCAATTACAACCTCAGTGCTGCATACATATTTACATTTAGATAATAAAGAACACTTAAAGTGAGTTACAAGAAATATTGGAATTACGTGTGAACGATATATCGCAACCCAGAATATCCATACACTCCGGGAAACTCTTATATGATAATAATAATAATAATACAATATACAATCTCTGAGAAAAATGCGGAAGAAACTTGCAGTGATTCTACATGTAACATGTAAACAGAACAAACTGTTTTTTCGCAGAACAACAATAACAACGATCGAACCAACATTTTTCATATTTCAGAGATGAATAGTAGTACCTTACATTGTTCGCTATATACGATTATGTGGAACAATTTGTCTCTTTCCAAGAAACGATTTTTTCTCCTAGATCGCGAATAACAACTAATACGAATACAATTCTGTCTCGTTCGTGTAGCCGTCTATAAAACGTTAAATATCTCTCGGAGCGATTGTTGAGTCACTTTACGGAATATGCATGCTATGCCACAGGGATTGTTTTAACCATGAATAGACGTGCACCAAATAATATTATACCAAATAATATTGAATGTGAGTATACGCCCGCCACACACGTTCCCGTTAAGATAAGGCAAAAAAAAAAGAAGAAAGAAATAGAACAATCAAGATCGATTGATGAACAGAAAATTGGATGTACGAGAAAATTAAGGAGATGAGAGCGTGAAATTAGAACACGGATCGTGGTATTATGGTATGCAGCAACGTACCTCACTACTGGGTGCTTGGGGGGTACGGATGGGTCCATGGGGCTGAAATAACAAAACAAAGGCAGTTGCTAACAAACACTAAACATGATAAATTAATCAAATTTTTATATGTAATAACAACCATCACCATTCTGTCACCATTGCACACTGGATTATGGCACAGAGAGAGAGATTACGATGTGACGTGAGTCTATAAAAGATTTCGGAACTTCTGAATGGGGGAGAAAAATACAGTATCTCGCGGATTTCCCTCGACTGTGTACACACTTTTATACGTATATAAAAAGAAAAAAAAAACGGAAAACAAAGAAACATGTGATGTTGCGTGAGACTCTACCGTGGAGACTCTCAAACGAAAGCGTTTTTTCAATGTTCGATGGGGATCGTTATCTCGCACAGGAAATTACACTTAACGCAAACGGCGATCGCAGTGTCTCTTCTTATCAAGGATAGATAGTGGTTTCTGGATGCGGCGTGTTAAGAGACAAATTTCCATATTACCGTGGTTACGTGAGTATACAAAAGAATTCAATTTACACATAACACTCCTAACGATACGAATTATACATGCATCATAAACGCAGTGAGATGTGTTGTTGTTCTCGCGTAGGCAAAATGTTCCTTTTGTACGAGGATTCAGAAATAAATTGATACAACATATACAAGACAGTTTTGACATATTTATTAATGCGAAATTATTACTATTATTGCTCCTTAAAATTATTAAATAATATTTCTATCCTGTTTATATATAATATGTATATGTCAGCTATTTACTGCCCTCCAGAACGTAATGTTTAAAATAGAATTCCTAAATTGGATTCACTGTAAATAATAGATTGACTATATAATGAACTGAATATCCTAAGGATCCTCTGGATACTTGGACGGGCACGTAGTTGGAGTGCAGCAAAGAGCGTGGTCACTTAAAGGCATGTTATATTTATATAATTTGCATACAAATAGTTTCCTTCATATATACCTCATACTTTGATATATTTAAGATGACGTGGTCTAATCGTTCGATAACTCTTTCTCTTCTCGCGTTTCTCACTTTCATATACATTAGTTCATTGGGTGGCCTTAGGTATACATCGTTAGCTTTACAACTTTCTAATATCACTTATATGCATCGAATATCGATAAACACGATGAATACAAAAGAAGAAAAAAAAACAAATCCTACTAATGACGTTTTTAAACAACACATTCGTTGGAAATATATTATATCAAAATGCTAAATATTTATATATCAGAGTACATGAAATTGTGCAATCTCCTGATATCTAAATAAAAAACAAGAGGAAAATTAATTATAGAAACATGTTCTATACATCGTACTATAGTAGTAAATACGTAATTCTTTAATAGCCTTTATACAAGAGAACGTATAAAAAAGAAATCAGCAATGTCTTACAAATCAGCAATGTCAAAATCAGAGATGAATATATAAAAATTCCCTGATTCTATCTCTTGCTAAAAGTAAGAAATAACATATTTTCAAGCAGCCCAAGGCCACTCTGTAGGATATGCCATGGTTTGTTATATATAATGAATGTATAATAATAATATAATAATAATAATAATAATAATAATAATAATAATAATTACTTGCCGTATATAACATGTAGATGCTACTGTGTTGACCAGATATTAATAAATGCTATTGGCAATGACTGTGAAAGGATTAGTGCATCGAGATTTGTCGTGTAACTAAATATTTGAAATACACAATATCAAGTAGGAGAAGGCACGTATTTTCGATATTGGGATAAACACACATTATCATAATTTTCAAATTCACAATGTATCTGACTTAGTCAATATCTGCACTTAGTATTGAAACAAGCTCGGATTTAAAAATGTTATTATTCTCTTTATATCTGTATATTATAGATTGAAAAATTACGCGTAATATTTCGCTCCTCTGAATTCAGACATTAAATACGGCGGAAATGTATACCTTCCTCTATATAATGCGAGGAGACATTACATTTTTTGTAATAGACAATTGCAACGAGAAATATAAGAAAAGATTAACAATAGAGATAACATAATGTATAATTTAATCAAAATGAGACAGTTACTCTTAGTTCTCTCTTACATATTATATTGTACTAAGCACAGTATTGCTCTTTACAGGAAGATTTACAATTATCTTTATTCTCACAATGATAAACAGAGATACGTGCTTGAATATTGTATATTTCTAATAATTAAACAATAGTACAATGTAGATCGGGATACATTAATCAATATACAAATAAATGAAGTACCAATTAATTATGGCCTGCCTTGTTCGAATAATGTTCTATTGTATATGTCGGTTCTCAATAAATTATACAATACAAATGAATATTTATTAATAGAATAAATTAAAGCAAGGTGGGTAAAATCGAATTGCCGTTCATTGCAATCAAATAGCACTCTAAATCTTAATTTATTAGTCAGTTTTGAGATCAACATTGGAACAGCATTAATAACTGCGGTTAACTGCAGAAATGAAGAATCTTTCTGCGCAATCTGTTGCTATTTGTTTACAGAACTTCTCGACAGTGTGGAATCTCTAATAAAAAATAAATTATATTTTAGTTCCGTAATCGCATTAAAAGAGGCGTATACATGTAAACATAAAGAAAAGATAAAGTGGAATGCCTAATTTTATATAGATCTCCATTTTTGCTTCTATATTTGATCGAAATATGTTTGTATTTTTTAATTATTTTTGTGTCAACCGAGTAGTATTCAAAATATATAAATGCAATTACTATACTGATATTGGACAGATAATGTAAAAAGTATATAGGAAAAATTAATTTAGAAAACAATATAAAAAGTATGAAATAAGTTGAATCGTAAGACTATCATGCACTCTTAATATTGCAGATAAATTGAGTTAATTTCATCGTCAGCTCAAATTCGTTTATTCTTGCGAGAAAAAAGATTATCTACTCTTGCTTCAAAATTATCCATAAATAACTACGAAGGTAATGAAGCTGTACAAAATATTTTACGAGAGAAAATATTGTAGCTATGTCAATATCTACATATATGCCGCGTGTATGTATATAACAACATACATATCCATTCGTTTTAAAGGACGTATTGCCTTGAATTTCGTTTATATTAAGAAATTGATACAAGGAGCCAATGTACATTATTTCTAACTGTGAGAAAAAAGGCCAAATTAAATTCCACGCTATCTTTGAGAGGAGGAATCTATGCTGGATACCAAAACAATTCCAAAGAGAAAGGGAGAAAAAAATAAATAAAAAACGGCATACATTACTTATCAAACTTAATCGGCCACTTTGTAATTTTTAACGAGTGGCACGAACAGAATATTGCAATAACATTGCATTAAGTTAAACATGAGAATGCAATGCGTAAATCTCGAAAGTCTACAATAACAACTGACGTTTCGTCACAGCTGATACATTACATGATTCTAATTTCATTAGCACTGCTATCCAACATATTTTCCTGGAAAAATAAAAAGAAAAAAAGAGAAACTCGCGCTACAATGTTACAAAATATACAACATTATATTCCTAGTCCTCGATATAATCCAGGAGAAACAAGGTGAGAGAGATAAATCGAAACGAAATAAAATAACACATTGATGGAAGTTCCGCTTCGCCATTGAATAAAATTTGAAACATTTTGCCATAAGTGGCTGCAATTTGTGCTGCCGTGGCGCGATATATCTGCATGCGGCTCGCTCTCATTTCGGCTCGGGGGAAACAAGGCGAGACCTCAGCCTTCACTTAAAAAAATCTGTCAAAGCACGAACAATCATATGTACTCTATTATCGCACTAAATCCGTCTGTTCGTTCGATATTGTGTTAGTGTAACTATAGCATTTTCCTCACATTCCTACCACCCGTAACGGAATCGATCTCGTTACGATCTCAAACATTCTCTCTCACATCAACAAAGCATTCGTCGACTTTATCGTTTCTGAGGGCAGTATAGAGAAATGGATACTAGAGTAATATTAATACATAAAGAAAAACAAGAAAATAAGAAACGAAAAAAAAAATAAGGAACATGTAAAAACGTGGTCTCATCGATACACTATCGCACAGAGACAAATAGTTAAAATGTCGTCACGTCTGTTCGAAGTACGTAGAGAAGTCCGCGGGGAGACCTCCGCGCGCTATTTTTCCTACGCTATCCTCATGGGATGTACGAGTGAAAACGTTTTATCATCACATTTGCGGGAACTCGTCGCTAAACTTTGTTTACAGGAGAGAAAAAAAAGAGCGATCTATGCCTGTCACACATCCGCCGCTACACGAAAACATATGCTCGGTGTTTAAATATAATGATAAGTGTGCGAACACACACTCATCCTTAGATACTTTAGTCAACTAGATACACTTTACGTCGGAAGGCATCTAAACTATCACCACGATCCACGAGAAATACTTTTCTTGCACTTTTTATACACTTATTTTACTCTACAACAAAAGCAAAGAAGAGAAGGAAAACAAGTAGGCTATAGACTCTCGCGCGGTTATGAAAAATGTAGAAAAATAGAAAGAAGAATATCAGGTTTTCTCTTCTTGGAAATGGACGACGTAAAGTATACATACATTCTCATTAGAGGCAGGCTGAATTAGGAAAGGCACAGATTCTGAGTGCTATATCTAAGTGCGTAAGGCGATTTCCTGCTTTTGTGATTTCAGGAAGACGTCAATTTTTCTCTTGTTAATAATTATATAACCACGTATATATTTATACCTATGTGTACACACGTACGAACGTATGTATGTGTGTGTTATGTGTACGTGTTTTGAGAGAATTCGATGCGGCGATACCACGCTACTTATGCACATACACATACATCGTGCGTATGCTTGAAGATGACGATACTCGTTTATCGACATGTAAAGGTCCCTAAAAAAGTAATTACACGCAATCTTGAGAACCACAGAATAACGGAGCCAAGAGTTCTTTTTCTTTCATGTATCTCTCTTTTTTTATATGCATCACAATATCCATTGAGCGGTCGACTGATAACATGGACTCTTTGCCCGGCTCGATTTAACGTGTTAGATGCGCGTCGGGCATGCTGCATTTTACTCGACACTGTCGGCACATTCGGCTGTTAAAACTCTCGTGTCTCTATGGCCTTTCGCTTGACGGAACTCGAGAGATGAAGCGAAGCTTATTCACGGTTCACGGCCTGCAGCATATAATATATATAACCGGTATGAATTAAGTATTAAAAAAAAATATATATAGAAAACGTCAGGGGGAATCGTTCTGATGCACCAATGGCTATGGATGCCGTCAATTCGCACGCTTCACAATTTATATCCGTGCTATATGCTGATGAGTACAGTGACCATATCATGAAAGCGAGAATAACAAAGGGGTTCTCTCTCTCTCTCTCTCTTTCTCTCTCTCTCTCTCTTTCTCTCTCTTTTTCTCTACTCGGATTTTACAATATACTCTCGTTATTCTGCAGTCTTCCATCCTCAGTTCCAAGTACTTTTATGTACGTGTGTACAGTATGGCGCTGTCGTTTTGCATTTGACTGTGCGACGTAATAATTAGGTCCCATATGTATATATATAGATGTATGTATATATAAGTAATAAATCAAAGATATGCCTCGCTACAATCAAGTGAGAAAAAAGGGATGCACAATGAGTATGCGAGGTGGCCTGAGAATTTCAGCCGAGCAGTGTGTCGTATTATTATTTCCACTATTATTACTTCGAGATTCGAGAGGATTTTCGTATTCAATAGCGCTAATCTCGTATGATTTTATCACTTAGGCGAATATTCTGCATCTCCGTGTTTCTTTTTCTTTTTTTTTCTTTCAGATAAAAATTTTTCTGTCGATCGAAAAATTTAGGAGGCGATGTATATATTTCTCATTATATATGAATATAGAATGACTAAATTCTGTGTAAGGACAGTGACGAAAGTAATTTCTACGTAGAATTTAGCTAAGAGGGTACAATCTGTCAAGCAAATATTTATGGGACAAACAAACAATACAGATAGACGAACGCGATACGCTTTGAGGATGAAAAATATGGTATGTAAGTAAGTAAATAAAGCTACGGAACAAAATGCAGAAGCTACGTATCCTGTGTCTTTCACTGATAATGGTCGCTGCTGGCTCATCGGATTTGTAATTAACGTTATTATACACATATTTTACGTCCTTATATCAATATGTATCTATGTATCGATATATAGAATTTCCAGAATTACATAGTCATTGTGCATCCTTAAAAAACAGAAACATTATTTTGCATGCAAACAATCGGTACAATTTACCAAACTATGTCAGTATGATATATATATGTATGTATATGTGTATACTCAAGTATATATTAAAATTTCAACACACTTAAATATGTTTAAGATACTAAAGCATGCACTGAGGGCCACTGCAAAGCTACGATGTTTATATGCTAGCACTCTCAGTCTGTACTTGTAGGATCGGATAACGAGACAGCATGAAGTTGTTAAAGTACTTTCTTTACTACACGATATAATGAGAATAAATCAACGAATGGATGTGTAATCAAACAAGAACACGGAGAGAATGAAACAAATCAGAGAAACGAAGAAAGAAAAAAGAATTGACGATGTATATGTGGCGTAATAAAACTTTCGACTTTTATGAGCCTTCTTTACTGATTGATGTATTGATTACTTCGTGGAGGTGTATAGTTAACTGAGATAAGATACATGCAATTATAAAAAAAAAATTAAAACAATTAGATTCAGTAACTCTCTCTTGATTTTGACTCGCAATTTCTAATGGATATATTTCTCTCCCAAGTTAACACCTTCAGCTATCATTGAGACATTATCGACAGATGTGACACAAAAATTTTACAGGGTATAAAGTTTGTTAATACTAATTAGGAAATAATTCAATCTCACGATCGTATATCATTATATGCACAACAAGGTAATCGGATCACAAAAATATATTATGATATAAAAAACAAAAGAAAGAAAATAATTATTCGTGAACAGACGGTGTTTCGTATTATAGTCGTACATGTGTTAACATGCTGTCAAATATATATATATATATATATATATATACTGACGTATCACTAGATAGGTAGATTTGGTATGTCATGGAACTTACCGTTTGGAGAACTTCGAGGATAATTTCGAGAAGAAGGACGGCCTCGCTAGAGGGCTAATTGCATTCGTGTCCTGCGTTTGCGTGTGACCCTGGAAACAGGACATTTATTAGAACCGGTCGCGACGTGGCGAGGGTGTCCTTCTTGCTATCTTAGAGACGTCTTAGAGTGCCTTCTGCCACTTTTTCATGCCCCTTCGGTTGAGCTCGGAAACAAATCACTCACCTGAGTGTGATTTCGCTGTGCTCGGTTTTGGCCAGAATGGAACGTACTGCGACTCGGAACATTCCGTGGAAATGCTGGTGTAGTGGCTGTGGGCAGTCTATTGCTTGCGGATACACCCAAGCTAGCAACAGATAACGATCTCTGCTTTGGTAAAGACTACAATCGTGGTGAGACTGTGATGTTTGTGTGTATGTGTATAGAAAAATGCGTTACAGGTTGATTTATATATCGGTAGCTTTTTACTTTCAAAAAGTACTATATGCGGCGAATCATGAGGAGTATTGCCAGATGCGCTGGAGCGCCTGTACTACTATAGTCTATGTTACCCGTTCGATTTAAGTGAAGCTGGCGTCAAGATGCAGAAAGAACGAGTAGGTAAGTTGTTGTTTCAGTGCTGTATGCGTATTCTTGGAGGTATCATTGCAAGAGTTTTACCAACGCACAAGCAATGTTCTCACAAAACGAAGCTTAGCGGTTAGAGCTAACGAAGCGAAGTCGAGAAAGAGAGAGATAGATAGATAGATAAAGAGAGAGAAAGAGAGATAGAGACAAGGAAAATCAGTTTGTACCAATTAAAAGTACGTAACAAGAGTCATCGTACGGATGAGTTAATCTCTACCAATTGATGTAAAATGCGCATGCATTAGTAACAGATTATTTCGAGAGCACAATTGTGTTTCCTTGTGATGTACGTTTTATAGATGCTACGACTGTATGATACTAGAAGGAAGAGTTCTGTATGATCATGAATGATGATAAGAAAATAATTCTGATATCAGAATTGCACGATACATCGGATCTTGTGAGAATAATCGAATTATGTACAAATTATATAAATTCGAATGAATAAAGTCTGAATGATGATGATTCGTTGGATAGAGATCGTACTAAAAAGATTATAGATCTCTTACGTTCTGCTTATATGATACGGTAACTCCTTAAAGATAATAGGAAACGAATGTTAAGAGGAAGATGTTATATTGTATACAGAGGATGCACCAGACACCTATTTTTGTGTGGAATCATTGACCGAGTTGGCATAAATGTATCGACATGTTTTCCTTCAACAAAAGCGCTGACATTATGACGATATGTACCCGGTCGATGTGTCGTCATAACGTTCAACATGTTACAGTTTACTAATCGATCGAAAGTCAAGTTTCTTTTGTATTTAATGGAAAGTCCCTTAAAAGTAGCAAAGTGAGTAGAACATGGCGGATCTATATAATGAGTCATAATGGAGTATGTCATTTTACGGTGCCTGAATGATTCATTATTCAAATAAAGAGGAATGCCTGAAGCCGATGCAATTTAGCAGAGAAATCTAGTAGAGTTTAAATCATGCAAATGAAAAGAAAAAGAAAGAGAGAGAGAGAGAAAGAGAGAGAGAGAGAGAGAGAATTATAGAGAAAAAGAGAGGAAAGAAATAATGAAGAATATGACCAGAAACTATCCTAGAGAAACCTATGTCGACGATTCATAATATTTCTCGCAGAATATTCGAAGAGAGACAATTGCACTGTCAAGAGCTCGAAAGATAAGTTCTCTCTCGTCACTCTGTCAAGACAGGTGTATATTCGCAAAAGACTAGTCGATAACACCTAAGTTATCCTAAGAGAGTTAGTGGCCTGAGAAAGAAGTAACCAAAACGTAAAGAACAAATGTATCCGAAATATTTAAAATAGATACAGGATGCAGGTTTTCTCTTTTTTTTTATTTTTTTTTTTTTCGGTTCTGTATAGGCATTGGGGGCCTGTACCTCTGCCTAAGGGGGTCAGCAGTGGCGAGTAAGGAGTTGTTGCGTGGTTGAGGGTCCAGTAGTGAATGGTCGCTGGGGGGTACGCCACTTGAGGAACGGTGACCTGCGCTGATGCTCGCAGACTTCGTGTGACCCCGCGTTGATCTAGTGCCCTCGCCCAGACTGTGCACAAAACTAATCAGCAAATTGCCGGGCCCTATCTTCCGCAAGTTTAATCCTACTTTTGTCCTTTTCCCTCTTGCATTTTTTTTTGAGTATAAGGAAAGCGGATACTTCTCGAGGCCGTATATAGAAGCTCTAACGGGGCCAGATGTAAGATTCGCAAGGTTTTAGACAAATATGATGTTAATGATAGGCTTAACTCGTAGATGCGAAGATAAAGAATTTGATTGGAGGTTTTCTTCCGTGGTTCACGTTTTAAAGGATTGTATTGTATTTTTATGTTCCGTATTAGAAAAAAAAAATAAAAAAAAAAACGATTTTGAAAGGTTTGGATGTAATATTTTATTACATATTATTACATAATGCTATTTTATTACGCGATTACAGAGATATACATTTCGTAACAGAAACTCTCATTAAAGGGGGGTGTTACAAAAGGATATCACGAGGATGGAAAGAGGAGAATATGACAATACTAACTGCAGCTAATGTAACTCCGCGGAATACTTGAATGATAAGAGAAACAGAATACGATACTACAAAGTATGAATGAAAAAAAATGTATGATAATGTTAATGAATGTGTCTAAAAACCTTCTCGACTAGATCTATAACTTCGAGGTAACAGAGTAATATATATATATGTGAATGCTGTTTGTGGTCTGATATCATTTCAGCAAGCGTCTGTACACGTATAAAAACGTTAAAATCGAACTGTCCGTTTGATACATCTGTCAAGCCATAAAGAAAGTGATTCGCAATGAACGATTGGCAGGCAGCAGCCAAAACATGCTAGAGCAATGCAACAAACAAATAAACTCCCCGGAGCTTTTAATGACAGACTTTGTTATTATTCACTCAATTGCGGAACTGTTTCTCGAGTCGGTTTAGTGTACTTAACACACACATTAAGTAATCAGTTGTCTACAGTTAGTGAAAATAAAAGTGTTAAGTCGATAGAGAAACCGTAGAAATGTCGTCAAACGAGAGATGCACTAATCTTATATTACATATCGTCAATAACTTCAGATAATGAGATACTGGACTGTTAATCGCGACAATGAATCGAATAGGTAGAACAGTTTCTTTAGCACGGTGATAAAAGGAACGGTGAAACTGAACGTCCAATATCCCATGTCAAGTATCTATCGAGAAGTGAGAATGCACAGAATGTGTCAACGAGAAATGTAATCGAGAGAATCTCGGTTATCATTACGAACGTTTTCTCTTTCTTTCTCTAGATAACCCGCATTTCGTAAGTATTTATAGTCTCGACTGTTTTCTCTCATGAATAGATCGCATATTTTGAGTAAGTATAATTGGATACCACTATACCTGGGTACTTCGTTGGTTCTTTCAGTGGATGAAGATGACGTTTTCGCTTGATCATAGGAGATGGTACTACGTCGACCAACAGAACCAGGAGCAGGTGAGGTGAGAGGCCGACCACCACCTACCCCTGCGTTCATAGTGTTGCTCTTGCCTACCCTTGCTTTACCACCAGGACTTGTACCCACGCCTAGAATGAACATCGTCACTGCAAGCCTCATTAGATGTGGTTCAACACAAAACAAAGCGACATACTTTAAACTATAACAAACATTGGAAACAATCATTGAAAGGATTCCGAACCGCCAGTGTGTGTATAAAACGTCTGACCTGTTTCTATACCAGATGAAATGATCAATTAAGAGCAAAATAACATCAAATTTACTATCTCTTGCACACGTAAACATATCACAGAGAGACCATAAACAACGTACGCCGTACTTTATACAGAATACATAGTATGCAGTAAAATTACGGCAATACGATTGTGCTTTATTCCTTGCAGACATACATAAGAAACAGGCACGACGATTCGAGATTAAAACGTGGAAAACTAGAACTTTCGATAACAATCATGACTGTATCCACAGAAATGACTACAGACAAAAAAGAATATGGCGTAGGATAAGATAATATAACATCGGATCTATATGTCTTGTAAACATTGAATAATAACGAAAAATAAGATTATAAATCAATCGTAAATTCGGTAACAATTCAGCTATTGAACCGCTGCAACCTTATCCAAAGCAACCTCATCCAAAGAAGTGTCTTCGCAGAAGCGCCACGAAAACATTGCACGACAAATAGTCGAATAAGATCCGTAAAAACAAAGAGAAGAAGTCCCTCAAAACAGATTTTACTCGAGAACAAAGTCAACTCACTAGTATCTAATTGTCCGGGACTGTTCTTAGGTGCGGATGGTCTGCTTGCTGAGACACGAGCGCTATTTTCCTTGATTGTGGCTGCGTCCACGGTGTTTTGCCGTTTAAAATTACTACCGCCGCTTCCAGTCACGGTGCTGCCAGTTGCCGCGGTCGCGTGATTGTGATTCGTTGCATTACCCGGACTGGGTGCGCCTCCTAATAAGGAAAGAAAATTACGTAACAAAACCCTTTGTCTCTGAGACGCAGCGCGTGTTCGGTATTAATAGACACGTCAGTATACAATCTTGCTTTTTTGTTACCGTTCCAACTTTCATCACGATATACGTCACTTCTATTAAAATACAAATATTTAACGTATGACGACAACGCAATGCATATTAATTACTACACATCACTAACTATCGTAGTCATGGTTTCATTTCGACGAATATAATTAATGCGAAAATTATCGCATAGAGAGGTTTCATACAATTCTCGATCACGCTACAAAGAAGGAACACAAGTGCGTGTGTATCTGTCTTACCCCGGATTGTGTCCTCTTATCCATGCTTGTCTTTATCTGACAGTTAAAAGTTTAAAGTTCCGTACCGCATTAAGAGTTACGGTTTAAAACACGGCGTTAACACTTACGAAGAGTCTCACCACCGGACGAGGCCCGTCTACTGGGTTTTGGGTTGCTAGCAGAAATACTTCTGTGAACACCTCTATGCGATGGGCTTTGTACTGCACCGCCTGTTCCTCCGCTGCTTCCTCCTCCACCACCTGAGCCGACTTGAGGTGGAATGTTACGCAGCGACAGCGAACTACCCGACCGTGACCCATCGCTTTCGGGCTGTTCAGTAAATAAAAAAAAAAAAAAAAGAAAGATATAGATAAAAACGACTTGTACACGATTGTGTGATCTTAAAGTGATGTATTGGCGCATACTTACATCTGTCGTTTTCCTGCCTAGGAGCAGATACGTGGCGAATACATCGTCATACTTGGCTTGTCCTAAGGAGTCTTCTATTTCGCTTCGAGTGTATCCCAGACTGGCTAGGGCCTCTGAAATAGAAACGCGTGACGGCATAGTCATATCTACCAGGACGATCTTTTCTTTCCACACTTATAAGCATTGAAATTAATAGAGATAATGCAAAACCAAAATCAAATAGCTTCGCTACGTATCGCCATAACAGATACGGTTTAATACTTTGTAATACATCATTTGTCATTCTTAAAGAACTATTCATGAACTTATCGTCTTTATGACGTACGTCCGCACTTCGGCACTCGTTAGAGGTAAGTCGGTTTTAGTATGGTTTTAAATATTAGCACTGGTTAATGACTTCATTCTTCCATCCGAGATATCCTCATGCAATAATTTAAAGCGGATCACAGACGTACAGATACGCAGATGTAAATATATCAGACCAAATGAGAGAGAGAGAGAGCTCGGCTATCGGGAAATAAGCTATTGGTGCTTTCACGCTGTGCGTAAAATGTGCACATTACAAGTTCCTTACTTGAATACGATTTAGTAAAACGTTGTCTTCGATTATGCGTGCCGCAAAGACTCCGTACTCGCTTCCTAATCAAAAGCTACCGTACAGCACGTATTACTAAATCATATCAAGTAAGACTGTCTGATATATTTGTATAGTATTAATAGTGATTAAATACATTGCACAATTTTTTCAACTACCAGAAACACCTAATCATGAACATCCTTTAGAACGGACATATTGAAATTTATTGTGTCGAAATGTAATTATGCATGTGATATTATCACGTACACACTGTGTGACGCTTTACTTTTGTTATTGAATATTATGTAATGCAGGATGTTCTTGACAGATGTTACATTATTAAACATAAAAATGGTAAGTAGTAAGTGTTATGTACATACTGGTAGACTCACCTATCCTCTTGTGATCTCTATAATCAGGTTCAGGTTCTAAGTACGGCTTTAATTCGTCATCCTCATATCCCATATTCATCCATTTGTCTTTCATTATGTTCTGCGGCAATAAATATCGTTAAGTCGCTGCTTAAAAATGATACTCGGCTAAGAAATTTCACTCGTTTCACGTATACAGATAAAGACGTTGATCGTTGTTACCGTATGTAAAATTACATCAAATTGAAATGAGACCTAAAGAGAAGAATGAAACAAACTGATCGCAACGTACCTCTAGTGAGGCTCTCTTCGTCGGGTTGAGCACCAAGAATTTTTTGAGAAGATTTTCACAGTCGGTGGACATATAAAACGGGATCCTATATTTCCCTCTTAACACTCTTTCCCTCAATTCTCTCAACGTCGAACCATCGAAAGGCAGTGAGCCGGATACCAAAGTGTACAGGATTACACCCAACGACCATACATCCACTTCCGGGCCGTCGTACTTCTTTCCTGTGAACATGAAAGTCGATTGTGTGCGTGTGGTCGCAAAAATTTCCAATTAGAAGATTCACAACTCGCGGTAAGATACCTTGAAAGAGTTCCGGCGCGGCGTAAGGTGGCGATCCGCAGAAGGTGTCTAATTTGTTACCGGGCGTAAATTCATTGCTAAAACCGAAATCGGCGATCTTGATATTCATTTCACTGTCGAGCAACAAGTTCTCGGCTTTTAAGTCCCTGTGGATGATCTTCTTTTGATGGCAGTATTGCACAGCAGAAACGATCTGCCTGAACTTCGCTCTCGCCTCCTTCTCCTTCATTCGTCCATGCAAGACCAGGTAGTCGAAGACCTCTCCGCCGCTGGCATATTCCATTACCAGGTACAGTGTCTTCTCAGTCTCGATTACTTGGAACAATTTGACTATGTTCGGATGGTCGAGCATCTTCATTATCCTGACTTCACGGAACAGCTGTAATCAATCAGGCGCGTTAGTATGTATGCGTCACGGGCTTACGTGTGTAAAATGTATGCGTCTAATTGAAAAAGTTTTTCCATCAAATTATGACTATGCGACTTGTGACTCAAGCGGCGTGACATTCTCTTCCTGTAAAAATATTTGTTAGCACGTAAGAGATGACTCAAATTTCGTCTTTATAATTAAGACAGTGACGTGCGCTCATGTATCAACACCTTGATAAATTTTAGACGTAACATTCAATGACGCGATTTTTACTTTAAAATAATGTGAAAATGTAGCTTTGCAGGTATTACCTTTTGAAGGCTACCGGGATTCAGCTGAGTCTTATCGATGATCTTGATGGCTACCTCCTTTCCCGTGGGCACATGTTTAGCAAGTTTCACCTTGGCAAAGTTTCCTTTGCCAATGGTTTTCAGTAATTTGTACTTGCCGATATGAGGTTCCTCGGAGGTCCGGCTCCTCGACGAGAGCCGACTCCCGCTACTCGACACCCCTACGCCATCCCCCGTCTGCAAACAAGTGAGATCACATGTCAGAGAGCTCCTTCAATTAGCAGGCAATTATTAATAGTTTCAATTATAACAAAATATATTTCGTCAAATGTGTTGCTCCCTACTGCGATATCGCAAGACGCAGCAAGTTCTTTCTGTTACACGCTTAAAGAGTCGTCTCATTTATTCTAGTCGCGATACACATTCGCAACTACGTGCGCAAACAATTAAAACTGGAATAATCAATATCATTGTACAACTTTGGAACACATAGGGAAGGAATATTTGCCCGAGAGTTGCAGTGAAATTTTGCTCATTGGACGTTAAATCGAGAATATCGTGTTACATAATCAGAATCGATAATTTCCGATCCGAGTCCCGTAACTTTCGTGGATGATTCTCAACGCCTCACGCATCACGCGTGCTGGCTTATTTCAAGAAACGAGAGAACGCACCGCGCGAAGTCGCGTCGTAAATAGCCAACTATTTCAGAAACTTGGGTCGCGTCTCTCCGAGCACGGCGTTTAAAGTTAAAGCGGAATGGGGCAAGAGAAATACGGGGCAAATGCTCGTTAAAGCAGCGCGCATTCCTCGCGAGAAGCGCATCGCGCACGAGAAATCTCTCTCTCTCTCTTTTCCTCTCTCCCGCCCCTCCTCGTGCGCAACACATCGCATTTATTTACGCGTTTACATGCACGTATACACACCACACGCGGTCGCACTTGACACTCCCATGGACGGCCATTGTCAATGGAATTAATTAAAGCTCGTTAAAGTGTACCAGATACAGATTGTTCTGAACGGGACATGCCGGGCTCTCTCGCATTAGCCACAAGGACAACAGCTGTGGCATCGCGCCGACATCGAGTGAGCGATACTTCTTATTGCTGTTTTTAACGAAAATGGAAAAAATCGATACGACGGGCGTATCTATCCAGTTGGGATGCTCGAGCGTTCGATAACACGGAAGCGCGCTTTGGTACTATAAGAGACTTCTAAATAACAATCGCACCGTGTGCATTAAAGAAGATTGGCCAATGATCGCGCGCGACCGATCCTCTTTAGTTAATAACTCAAAACTCTACGTGATTGTTTGTAAAATGATAAGACATTTTTGTTCAGTTTGACCTAATCTATAAGCACACACGACAACAGTGTGTCGCTACCACAGCTCACTTGCCACATAATGCATAATCACTCATCAATATCTTTTTTAATTAATAACTCAAAATTTCAATTATGTAATTATCTGCAAAGTGATAGAATTTTCAGCTCAGTTTGACGAAATCTTTACACGAAAGTTTTATATACTATCTCATCAGACAGCCTTTATATAATAATAATTCCTATATAGGATTGTTAACGATTGTTATACATGTATAAGTTCTATAATAATGATGGAGAAATAATCAAGCTAGAAGGAGCTTTGATAATTAATTCCGTAGGCTCGTATTACCCGCAGAAGGCCACGCGTGACCATCTTGCGCGAGTTGGCGGCCGCAGCCTTGGAAGCCGCCAGTTTGAACTGTTCTCTTCGTCAGTCAGCCACGGCAAAACGATCGATGACGGATGATCGATGAGAGATCGCCTTTCCGTTCTTCGAATGCGATCCGAACAATCACGGGCGAGCAATCGGTTCGGCCGCTGATAACGGGACCACCGCGACGTCGCGCGGCTGAGTTCACGACACGGCGAAATCTGGATCGTTCGATCACCACCTGGTCGCTTGGGTCCACGACCTCGTCACTTAATCTCCGCGTCACACGATCACTGGACTCCCCGATTTCGACAACGGCCGCGATCCTTGTTATTCTTATGCGACGTTTTCGTGAACGAAGAATTTCACTTTCGGCTGCTGGACAATATCGATGGCCCAGCATGTTTCTCGGCGAGCAGCAGGTGCCGCATTCTTCGTGGTCGATCGTTTTGAAAGGTCGATCGATGAGTCAACGTGCAGAGGGTCTCGCGCTGGGTCATTTTACCGGGATATACACGGTGTCGTGAAAAAAGTGTTACTACGACGATGAACCGATCCTTGTTTGTCACCAAGAAGAATAACACTTCGGTGTTTGTTGGAAGAATGTCGGCTCCGTATGACTCTTTCACGTCGTGGATCGAGCGACCTTTTTCTTCGATTGAGTATCCCGCGGATACCTTTGGACCGTGCTTCTCTCGGTTTAACTACTATGTGGATACTTTACAAAATATGGGATGCAATTCTGCCAGTGCGCCGTTGGCCCGATATATCTCATTAGGCACTCTTTGTACTAATATTGACGATTAAATCGCGAATCGATCCCTATGGGACGACGCTCGCAGCTAAGCTCTCCTCTATCCCTGAGGTTCGTCATTTTCGAGCAACTCGCCCTCCGCCCTTATGCTGCCCGACCAAGTGGAATCGAGAGAACCCGTCTCTCTAGGGGCGTGTTTAAACACCTGGCGTGAATTCCGACGTGCAGGTGTCCATAGGTCGTCCCCGACACTCGTCAACCCCAATTCTTCCGAAACGGACAATAACCCGTGAATACTTGGTCGAAGACGTGCCACATGTACAGGATCTTACGAATGACCACGACTACCGATCGCCGACTCTGGGTCAACGGTAGCTAAGCAGGACGTCAGCACCAGCACCACTTCATCGACACCGTCCACCTAACATCGATCCGCCGATAGTTTCGCTGACGACTCATTGGAGCACGTCGATTAGCGACGTTACCAAGAGGCGTGCACTCGAGGGACACCTTACCGAGGTGATCGAACCATAGGTCACTGATGAAAGTTGCTCGTAGAGTCCGGGATTATCACAAGCATTCCGCAACGACGTCCTCCTCGATATCTACTTCTGTTCAGGGTCCTCGGGGGCGTTTCTGCTAGGAGCAGAAACAATGTCGCCGTTCGCGATGGACCTTCCTCGTTCGCGCGTCATACTCGTCGAATAACGCCTCCTCCTCGTCATCCTCCGCGAGACTGACGAGGGAACAGGGATCGAGGACGACGACGACGAGGTCGGCCGGGGCGGTTGCTCTGGTCGTCGTCGACGTCGACGACGACCGTGCGCGACTGCCTTTCCCCTTTCCGCCTGGGGACGAGCCGCCCGAGGCAAGGGGAGAGAGAGAAAGACAGACCACAGTCGTGGGATGCGAGGGCAGAATCAATACACGGCAACGCCACCGTTCCCCCTGGTGGAAACGTGCAAGCGAACCACCCTTGAATGCCTGGCCTCGTCGCTCACCCTCTCCGCCGCCACCCTCTTTTCTCGCTGTCGTCGATTCGCGGGACGCATGCGTCACGGAAAGTGGGAACACACCGGCACACACTGGCGGACAGACACACGGCGGGCCACAGCTCTCGCCCCAACCCTTCTTCCCACGACGACCGAGTATGTGCCGCCAGCGACCGAGATAACAGAGGGTCTCGGGCTGGTCAGCTGATCGCACCGGATGTTGCGGAGCGGTACGATCGATGGACGGGTTTCCGAGGGAAATGATTTCTTTCTTTACCATGCGGATCATGCGAGGAGAGTAAATTTGTCGTTGCGTTTCCTTGATTATCGAGCCTGCGAGAGCTAGTGCGGGCGCGTTTTATCGATATCTCGAGTAGAGAAATTTCCAGGAGAAACTGGTCACAAGCCAGAAACTGGCTAGGATTTATTAGACAATAACTTCAGCAGGAAAATATGAGCCAATATTTCTTGGCCAATTACTCGCCAGAGATTAGACATTGAAGAATGGTAAGTAAATGCTGGGCAGTCTCTGTTTAGTAAAATCTCGAGAAATACTGGCCACAAACTAAACAAGAAAAAATGGCAATTAAAGATAAAGCTACCGTTTCAATAATAAATGTATCTCTACGTGAAAAGATTCTACCTTCTAAAAAACGAATTTACTTTTATACTGAAAATATTTTATTTAACAGAATTTTGTATAAAAAAGGTAGTTAAAAACTGGTCAGAAACTATACTGAGAAGAAAATAAACTTATCCACTTTCGAGTATTTTTTTCGGTGTAACTAGTTTTATCGTTCAGTTATTAGCGAAACAAGTGTCGTTCAAACTGGACAGGAACTAGTCAGTAATCAGAATTTCTGGCCAATTAATGGGTAGAAACTCGTGAATTTCCTATTCGGGACGTGACCGACTGATCGATGCAATATCAGTATTTTCCAACAAGATGGAATAATACCGGTCTATTGGTTTGAGCAAGGGCAATATCGCGAATATGTTCAGTTTCCTGTCCGTCTAGCCATGGGAAGATAATTGGTTTCTCGGTATCGACGCGAACATTCTTGCACACGTCATTCGCGGGACATACAGAGTGGCGCGCTGGATTCATCTTTATCGTTCTCCCACCCGTTTCGGGAGGGTAGGCGTTTCCTGGATCGACGACAAAGACCAAAGAGCTCTCGCTTCGTCAGATGATCAAACCAATCGCCAACGAACACGACAACGTTGTTCACATTATTGTCTGGGATGCTCGCATTACCGTGTGGGAAAATTGGTAAGCGCGTTGGGTGTCATTTATTGCAATAACTCGAGTTTCACGAGTCGAGAGTACATTTTTGTTTAACCGCGTGAAAGTCCTCAGAATATGTGAGAAATCACACAAAAGTTGACTCTAGTCTCTACCTATAAATATATATTTATGTATAGTTATGAGAGAGAATAATTAGAAGACAGGTCCGTGGGGAATATCTCACTCGCGTCATTATTCTAACAATATCATCTTTGTGCAAAATCAAGAGATGCTGCGTGTGACAAAAAAAAAAGATTAGTATAGATCTCGATCACGACAATCGCGGATTGCTCATACGATGTTGCGGGAGCGAGACTGGACAGAAGTGGAGGACTACTTTTTTTTTGTAACTCGTGGCAACGCTGCTCTTTTCTTGGCACTTAAGACGAGATTCTCAAGAGTGTTAAAGAACTTTCCTGAGACGGGCTACAGAAGAGCGCGCCCGATCAGCTGATCAATCAGCCGAGAAAGCAACGGCAAGAACGAGAGGAAGAGGGGAAGGAGGAGGAGAGTTGCGCGGATGTACACTTTACGTGAAAGCGAGATAAGAATAGATCCAAGTTGACGCAACTTCCCCGCGGAAAAAGAGACCGCGTGCACGTGAGCGGGGAAATAAATAAAGGTCCACTTGGATGTAGCGCTGAATAAAAGAGAGCCGTCTCCTCCACTCCTCCAGCTGATCGTCCAGCCGCTCTTGGTCTCGTTCTTACATAACTTCGCTTAATTATGCATTCGTTATGCCGGGTGTCCCGACCAGCTGCGTGACTTTAACAAGTTATTTATGCATCTCATTATGAGTCGAATGGACGAGCGCACCTCACGCCGCAAATAGAATTCACCATCGACAGTTTTTCATCTCGCCCTCGTTGGAGCTGCTGCTAACGGGCGGTATCGGCGAAGCATTGCTTTAATTCTGACAAAAATATAACGTTCGTTAAATAAAACGCCCACGCATTTTAACGAATTTATCGATATTTCCCCAGCACAGGGAAAGTTAATTGTGATCGTCCGTTGTCAGGGATAATTTCTTTTTCATCGATTTCGCGTGCACGCGATAACGCGTTCCGCGTGTTATAATTGGAAAATATCCGCGATTCGACACACACACACACGAGGCTCGCCGGCCGCCCCGAGAACTCACGAGATGTTTTTGCAGACGAAACTGCTGATGCCGGGTATTCCACGGGGATTATGATTTATGCGTCTCTCCACATAAAACAGCGGGAATGGGATACAGCGGAATACACAGACCAAAACAAAGCCGGCTCCTCTTCCGCCCGCGGGGTGTATGTGAAATTTGTTTTATGGCGCGACACGCCGTCGCACCCTTTTGCAAGGCTTGATGCGGGGCGCAAAGTAAAGTCACGTCATAGATACATTGCCAGCTTATCGGCTCGGTACATAGCGTACGATATTAAAAGATTACATCTCGCGATGCTCCTTTTTTTATTGTCGCGCTATATAAAAGAACTCCGTCACGGGAAGGCAAAAAGCCTCTCGTAATATTTCAATCTTCAATCTTTTACACATTGCAATTACGTCCGACAAATATTTACGTAAAATAAATATATCCGCCTTGTGTGCCTGAAGGAATAGAAAAATATAACAAACTATTGTGTATCATTCATAAAAATAACCCGGAATATTCTTCTAAAGAGGAAGAAATAATTTGCACGGAAGAAATTTTATAGGAAAAATTGTTCTATAATCTTGTTTTACTGAGGAAATAGAGCAACATTCTGCAGCAATTGAATATCTTTTCATTTAGTACACTAAGAGAAAAAAATATTAAAAAAATATAACAAATATTTATTCGGTGGACACTAATAATATATTTACCTAAGTCTAGAAATCCTTTAATTAAATAGAATAAACAACTGTTTAAAAAAAAACTAAGATTTTTCTTATAAATAAGTAATAATGCATATTTTCTTACTTAAACATTCTTAAAACATTTTGTTATATTACGAAAAACGCATACGAAAAAAGTATACGAAAAACATTTTATAATAGTAAGAAAACATTTTATAGTGATAAAAAACATTTTATATTAGCATTAAAAAACGCATTAGTAAATATATTATTAGTGCCCACATCGAGAAAACATTTTTTATTTTTTAGATAATTTTCTTTCTCTCAGTGTATGTATGTTATTTGTATTTTAGAAATTAAAATCTACTATTAAAAAATTTGCTGCATGTTTCTGGCGAAATTTGCAACGTTCTTCGGCAAGCTGGACATTGCTGACAGTCCGTTCCTGTACTACTAAAAATATAGCAGAGCTGAACAAATTTGTATGAGAAACAAGAAACTATAATATCGTCGTGCAGATTTTTGCACTTAATATCTTGACAGATTGACTGCAACTTTCAACAAATAATTAAATAAATTATTTATACGTGCAGCCGTACGAGAAGATCGTGACGAGATATTTCAAGTTCGCGGCATTTCACTCCGCGCGACGCCGATTAATCGACTCCGACGAGTTACGCGATCGTTAGGCGATA